GCATCACTTTACGTCGTTACAATGCAATTAGTTACGCATAAAACAACGCCTCTACGGTACATGAAGGACACACGGCCTGACATGTACGCATGGCGAATTGCATTTAACACTTAAACAAATTGATTATTAAATTGTACGTGAAAATTGTCAATTGCAATGGCATTTAAAAATGTGCGCTCTCTCATATCGTGCACTCTGCAATTCGTCAAAATGACGGAAGCTCCTGTCAGCCATGTGCGCACACTTATCGAGCAAACCCCAGGAACACTCGCTCCAGTGCAGCGTGTGGCTCAGTGAAACATGCACAACATCCTTCCAAGTTCCTTACCTTAGTAAAATTACAAATAGCTCATCAATGCTTTGGGCCGAACATCACAACGCAAGACCCTCCTGAAAAAAGTCTTGAGTTTTAGTGAAACTTTTTTGGGAAAAAAATAATAATAATAAAACGTGGGCGGCAGAGTCGTAATCAGCGTGCCTCACAGCAAGAAGCACCTAGGTTCGCTTCTCGACTGAGGTTCCTTTCTGTGTGCAGTTTGTACGTTCTCTCCCCCTGCTCTGCATGGGTTTCCTCCCGGTTCTCTGCTTTCCTCCCAGAGCTAATAACGTAAAGCAGAACCTCATTGGCGTTAAAGAACCTCAACATCCCGGTGGATGACCCTCCTGATATAGAATCTGCGGACTCTGCGTCGTTTTCCCAGGTAAATAAATCACTAAGACACAGATCCCCCGTATAGCCTGTAACAGACTGTTGGGGCAAGTGCTGTTAGCGAGCACATATGAAGGCCAGCACGGCACACGAGGGGGTAGGCGGCCAGCACCACGCCCGACCGCCTTTGTCTCCCTAGTGGCAATGCTCACACACCGCACTAGCTAATCATTTGAGGCTGAGTCGAGCTAGGGGAGGCCCAGGACCGGTTCAGATAATCGTCGCTGGTGTTCGCCGTGAGCGGAAATTGAACCCGGGTTGTCGGGTTCGTAACGTAACACGCGAACCACTATACAATTGCTCCCCCCCAAAAATGCACATATACACACATATTATTATTATTGCTTAACAGGAGTGGTGGGCAGATATTAGCACACTGCACTATCAATCGAGTATCCCGAGTTATATTTATGGCAGTGGCTGACAGTGGACTGATATTTGACCCAGTTCTGGGTCACTGCCTTCATCAAGTTTTACTGACCAGAGTGAAGTATGGTCAAAAACAACTCCCATGGCCTTGCCCAACATGGGGAAGGCCTTCGTCCACCAGTGGATTTACAAAGGGCTGCATATTATTGCTTAATATTTAAAAAGGCAATGACTATTGATTAAAGTAAATAGGTACGCATTTACAATACAATTTTAATTAATGGAACGTGAAAATGTCAATGGCTTTCAAGATGCTGTACAAATAAATGGGGGGAAACCTGTAGCACTGAAAAAACGTTCAATTGTTTCAAACGCATTTCTAAATTGTGTCTTAGCAGGATATGAAGGGTAGAGTGCACGGGACGGCATTACGGTGGGATAAAAATTGAGTGTGCAGGAAAGAGGAGGAGGAAAAAATGTTCAGCCTGAACCTTAACAAACCAGAAGCCTCTTGCATCCAGCGCTGACAAAGCACTACAGCTACAGTACGAACAGAGCCTCGGCGTCCTTTAAGCCGCGGTTATTGGCTCTGACATTTCAGAATCAACTGGTGGGAGGGCAGTGTGTATTACCCCTGGGGTCATCAACACTGCAGTCCATGACTCTTCATCTACTCCAATTAAGCTCCCCCACAGTCGGTTGAGCGCACAATTATCACCAATCACCTCGGAGGATGCAAATGCAGGAATTCTCCTTGACATTGCTCGAAAAAAATAAGCCCTTCCATATTAACATGCAAAAAGCCGCCGAGGCTGCGAAATGCCTGCTGTCTATCAGGCAGGCTATTATTGTCTCCAAAATAGCAAACAGGGTTTGATAGGCACTGGCTAATAGTTTAATAACAAACCATGCTTGTAGATACCCTTGAGATTGTTATTACTGATCTTGATCGTGACTGCTGCTGAAAGAATTTTCCTTTGTATGGTTCCCCCAGCTCTCTGGTGTCTGTAGCACCAAAACGACGGTTAAACCTCATTAATACTTGATGCGCTCTCCGAGAAAGACCTTCACAAGTGGGTTGTTTTCCCCCAATCCGGCCACACGATCCCCGCATAACGCTTGGTCCAGAGGCGCGCGTCGGAACCGTGTAAACACGTGGTGGGGGATTGACTTCTCGAAACAAAAAATAAAAAAGCTAATCTCTCTAAATTTCAAAATGTGCATCGTTTTAGAGTCTAAAACGATGCACATTTTGACAAGAGGTGAACACGTTTCCGGCCCGCTCAAGCGGACGCGCACCTCCGTCGTCACGCACGTGGCTCGCGTGCAGAAACACGGCGCTGGTGGTAACGCGCGCGTCGCAAGGCTCCCCGACGCGAAACGGACGTCGTGGAGTCTTGCGAAGGTGTGGAGCTGCTGCCAAGCGGTGGGAGGGAGGGGGGGTGGGCAAACGCTTACTCATCACCACCAGGCCGTCATCGTCGCGGCAGTGTTGAGAGTAAATTGTAAATGCGGTCAAACGGTAAAGGGTGCGCGACCGGCAATTCCTTGCTTAGGTCACCGCTGGCGGAAGGGCCTCTTGCTAAAAGGAGCTCGAGAGAGAGAGAGCAACGCTAAAGAGTGCTTTTGGCCTACTCTTCCATTGCTGGCCAGATATCGTGGAAGAGGTGGGAGTAGCCACGCGTGATTGCACCACAGGCGACCTGTCGATTGACTAACTGTGGTTTGCCCATTTATACTGCAGCTGGGTGGACAGAGGAGCGGGGATTTAATAATGTCGCCAAATTGTTTCAACTGCTAAACGCACGCAAACTTGAAAAAAAATATTTTACCAGTTAAGGCCACGCTGATCTATATAACTATATTTCAGAAGCGACCTGGCCACAAACGATAGCCCAACGAAGGGGCTTATCACGTGAAAATCTACCGCAGCCAAAAACACTCTGAAGGCACGCTTTCTAAATGCGGAGGGAAACGCCGGAGGAAAGACCACACGACCACGGGGAGAGGGAGAGGACACGCAAACGCCAGATATACAGCAGCAGGCGTCAGGGTCGGGGTAGAACTAGATCGAACCAGGTTGGGATCGAACTGCTGCGCTGACAGATCAAATGGAAGAGGCAACCTCTGGATCTCAAGTGGAACGTGCCAACCATTGCTCCACCTCAGCATCCCTGTAGAGCAACAGCGCAGATGATATTTATATATGCACAATACGGGGGGTGGGTGGGGGGGGGTTGGATCGCGTAAAAATATAAATGTGTCGCTAAACCCGCCACCACCCGACACAGCCAACTTGTAAGGGTTGTCACGTAAACAGAACATGCCAATTCATCACTAGTACAGCACTAGTGTGTAGTGTAGTGTACAGTAGTGTGGTGTATTGTGTATAGTAGTGTAGTGTATAGCGTAGTGTATAGTGTAGTATACTAGTACAGCACACCGGCGTGTTGGAGAGCCAAGCCGCAACATTTACGATCTGAGTATTGTACGAGGTTTTTGCCAGTAATTGCAACGAGCTTCATCAGACGACGGCCAGGTTTGTGGAGAAGTCCACCTGTTTCGTTGTAGGTATAAATATACACAATGACGTTTTTCTTTCTTTCAGGGAATCGTTCCATTGGCACAACATCACGATGAGTGCCCAAAGGAGCCAAGGTTTTTTTTTTTGCTCACGATTATCGTTCGGTGCCCCGTGAGAGGCATCCAAAGGGCAGACCACTTCGACCTGCGGCAAAGGGGCCGCGGAGAGGCACGGGGAGGGCTCCTTTATAGTGACAGGCACTAAAGTGGCGGACCGCACTCGGTATTGCCGACGATTATGTGCCCTCAAAGCCACACCACTAACTGCCTCCCGCCGTAGCATCCCCACTTATCATAAATTCACAATTCGCAGCAAAGCCGGCCGTCAGCCGTGACCGCGTTGTGCCTTTCCATTTAGAATCGTAATAACTGAAAATAAAACACTCGACACATTCGTCATTTACACTGTTAATGGCCTTAGAAAAAAAAGAGTTTATAAAGTGTGACGTTTTAGACAATGGCCCTTCTCTACGGTGCTTAGAGAGGCCGGAGAGATAGTCACCAAAAAGTTTAAAAAATAGCATCGTGTGTGTGTGTAAGTCGACTCAGCCTTAAATGAGTACCTGGTGCGGTGTGTTAAAATCGCCACTGGGGAGACAAAGGCGGTCGGGCGTAGTGCTGGTCACCCACCCCCTTCGAATACCGCGCCGGCCTTCATAGGTGCTGCTCACTAATAGCACTTGCCCCAACAGTCTGTTAAGGCTACACGGGGGATCTTTGTGTTTATACGTGAGAGGTAAGGAGTCACACAAAGGGCAAAGCAGAGGAAGCTTACTCTTTGGTTCTTTCGGTAAAGTCACGTAGGTATACAAAATAAAATATATTTAATCACGACGTTTCGGGCGCAACACAAGCGTCTGTCAGCATTCCTATTGCGCGTTTCCTAATCCCCTACACACCCCCCGCTGTATCTCTCCTCCCTGGCTCCTCCCGCCTCTCCAACCTATAAAGCCTCTTGTCACAGCAGCCCTTTTGCCCACTTCAGCAATTGTGTCTTTCTGTGGTTGTCCCACCTGATGACGGACGCTTGTGTTGCGCCCGAAACGTCGTGATTAAATGTGTTTTTTTTTATAACTACCTGACTTTACCGAAAGAACCAAAGCGTATGGGATCCCTGCAGTCACGAAAACTTCAAATCTACAGAGGAAGCTTCTCTGCTCATTGCTCCGCCCCCCTCCACGGACCCACCACCTCTTCAAACTTATTTGGGCTTTCGCTCAGTTTGTTGTGTGCTCTAATGACATAATTGTTTCGTAAATGTGTTTCTTCTCTCCTGAATGTGTCCTATTACTTATGAATCCGCGGAGGCACAGTAAAGGTGATTGTTGTTTGTTTACAGATGCCGTTTCTCTCGAGAGGATGCCGCTGCGTTTTCTCGCCAAGTTAAAGAGGGAAGAGGTCTGGCGGTACGCTGATTTCAAACACGGACGTGGTAGGTATCACGTGGTAGGTATTACACGGTAGGTATCACGTGGTATGTATCACGTGGTATGTATCACGTGGTAGGTATCACGTGGTATGTATCACCTGGTAGGTATCACGTGGTATGTATCACGTGGTATGTATCACGTGGTAGGTATCACGTGGTATGTATCACCTGGTAGGTATCACGTGGTATGTATTACGTGGTAGGTATCACCTGGTAGGTATCACGTGGTATGTATTACATGGTAGGTATTACGTGGTAGGTATTACGTGGTATGTATTACGTGGTAGGTATCACGTGGCATGTATTACGTCGTAGGTATAACATGGTAGGTATCACGTGGTATGTATTACGTCGTAGGTATAACATGGTAGGTATCACGTGGTATGTATTACGTGGTAGGTATTACATGGTAGGTATCACGTGGTAGGTATTACGTGGTATGTATCACGTGGTATGTATTACGCGGTAGGTATTACATGGTAGGTATCACGTGGTGGGTATTACGTGGTATGTATCACGTGGTATGTATTACGTGGTTTATATTACGGACAGTTTCTCTCACGGAGTAATCCGTTCAGCTCAACAAGGCACGGTAACAGAGTTTTATCGCATTTACCTGTATTTGACAATAAACATCCGTAACGTTGCATTCAACAAAATTACGTCTCATCCGATGCTTTTTGTCGGGCAACTTTTCCCCTCGACCGTAATGCAACCATTTTTGTATCTATTTAAGAACGTTAATAATTATCCAACATCTGCCGCGGTTTAATGGTTTGATCAGAAAAAGGCCGCTTCGATCTCCGAGCACGACAGTCAAATCATTGGGCAGCTTTCTTAGGCACTGAGACCAAGAGTGGGCTCATTCATACCCTCGAGTGCAGTGGTTCTTAACCTGGGGCGCACGCAACCCTCTGTGGTTGTAAGAACCACTGCTCTAGAGGGGCTCTCAAAAACTCCCTCTAGAGGAGGCTCTTCCAACAGCAGTGCTGTGAGCAAGCAATTGCAGGGCTGCGCCTTTACCACCCGTTTATCTCATTCTAATCCGGGTTGATGGCACTCACTTGCTCATAAGAAGGGGTTGGCGGCTCGCACGAGGATGAAAGCGGTCTGTATGAACCCACTAGAGTCCCAGTTGTCTTGTTGTTTTCATCCGTGCAGCTCGCGTCAGCCAGCCTTGGTGTAAGAAAACAAGAATCCAGTTGGTTTTTGGACCAGAAATTTACGGATAATCATGAACCTGCTCATAAACATATGCCCTTTAAAAAAATATACAGATTCCCTGGAGGGCCAAGCAAGCTGTAACGGAACTATTCAGCCCAATTATAAAGCTCGTTTTACAGAAAAGAAGGGAGTGGCTCCCCTCTCTTCTGCGTTGATCCCGTGATATCAAAACTGTTTTGAGGGCAGCCCAGCTGGCTGGGGGTAGGGAACTATGCAGCCCAATTATGAAGCTCGTTTTACTAAGGGGGGCTCCCTGCCCCCAGCCAGCTGGGCTGCCCTCAAACAGTTTTGATATCACGGGATCGACGCAGAAAAGAGAGGAGCCATTGCTGGAGTCTATTGCTTCGATTAAAAAATCTGTTTTTATTAATTAGAAGAAGAGACTGACAAATTCATTAGAACTTTGGATAGTGTAAATCCAAACCAAACGTAATATTACATATCTTAATTTATCTTAAAATGCAGAATCACCTCCCCTCCAGGGAGGGGAGGGCGGGGAGGGGAGGGAGGGGAGGAAGGGGAGGGAGGGGAGGGAGGTCCAAACCCGTGGAGCCGTACAATAGGGCACAGGACCCACGCTCTGGTGTGGGCCATGCCAGGAACAGCTCGGCATGGCTCAGATTAGGTTTCTAATTGTCGTGGAATGGCAGCAGCTGTCAGTGGGCCTTGCCGCGCTGTTCGCACGAATGTTGTCAGAGAGAGTTCAAGCCCTGCTCTAGCGTTGAGCCTGCGAGAGTGGGTGCGTGCGTAAGGAACAGTCTCTCTGACAATCTCTCGTTTCAAGAGACTTGCACGGCAATTGCGAACGTTCGGAATAACCCACGGCCTCCTCTGGGCGAACGTACAGGTGTGTGACATTTAAAAGCATAACCAGTTTTTTTTAAAGAGAAAAGGCCAGTTAGACCCAAAGGCTCAGCACGCCGCCCCCCCCTCTCCCCTGCCTTATAATTTCAAGAATTTTACTCTCACCAACGAACCCAATGCCCCCACCCCCTCTCCTCCATTCTCTTAAATATTCACGAGATGCAAACTTTGCACTATTCCCCACCACGAACGCCTGGGTAGAATTCCGCAAACGCCCGACTGTTCCAGAACGTGTCCCATCGTCGTTGTTGAAACGAGCCAACGGAAGAACCTCTCCACCACGGCGGCACACCTTGCCCTTTCCAGCCGCCCTGAAACGTTGTTTTTCTCTCTTTCTCTCCCTCGAAAACGAGCACCGTTTGCGTCCCCACTGGATCTGACTATTCCGTATTCGGCGTAACACAATTGAAAACGGTTTGTCACCTGCCATGGTGACGACCTCGAGGTGGTGTGAACGTATGCGTCGAGCCAGCTTTAGAAATGTTGATGTCTACCGTGACCCTGTAGCGTGACCTTGGTCCGAGTGCGATATCTAAAAACTCAGTGTGAAACGAAATTTGACAAATGTTAAACGCTGAACAGAACGAGTCGCGATACGATCTGCTTTTCTCTAAACGTGAATTTTGCACTGACTCTCACCTCGTGTGTGTATATATACATGAGTAAAGGCTGCGAATGCCGATCACTTTATTCTTGTATTCATACACGGTATACATTTTGTCACGGACTCCTCCAACTTCTGCCGGCCGTTTATACATCATCACACGAATCTGGAACATGTTGAAATAAGGAGACTGCAGCAGATCACTCACTGTGTGAAGCAGTCATTACACTGTATTGAACATAGTCATTGACTCACTAAAAATGTTTAGAAGGGGGGCTGAACCTTGAGTACCCCCCCCCCCCCGACACACACACACACCAATTACTAGAGGGTTGGTGCCTAACGAGAAGAGTGTGTGTTAGGGCTCATTGATGGGTTCATATCTGTGTGTAGTCAATTGTCAATCAAACATTGGGGGGAGGGGGATTTACGTCGTGCCAAATTAATATCGTGGATACCCTCTATTCATCAGGGGCCTACTCAATTATCTGCCTTTGCGATGCAATGGTTGATCGCGATTCAGGGTCATGAATCAAGGATCAATTTCACCCAGTTTTCAGCCAGTTTTCCGCAGATTGTTCTATCCACATCATGTGATGGAATGAGATTGAATCCATTCCGAAATTTAACTGGGCAGTGCTAGGAAACGGCCCGCAGAAGTAAATGTCACATAGCTACTTCTGAATATATAGTTAAGTGACTTGTCCACGCCAATGCGAGGACTTTCCCACCTGCCCTGCTCCAGGTAAAAACGTTCAGCACACGGTAATCCAACTGATAACGTTCAATCTTTAATCTAGAATTTGGCCAAATTCAGGGAAAAAATAATTTTACGGTCTCAGTCACTGATGACTGAGGCCGTGAACTCGCTAGACTTGACAACCTATTTCAGTCACAGGTGGCTACTCGTATTAAAACCCAGGATATCAGTAGTGGCAGCTCTATGCTCTGACCTCTGAGCCAACTGGATCCCTCTAAGAATCCATTCTTTTTTAGCATTGTGATAAATGTAGTGGCTTCCAGTGGCATGAAGGGGTCACGTGAACCTATTACTTACAACATGAATTGAAGTGCATCGATTGTTACACACGTGATTCGATTAATGAATCGTGAGCTAGAGAATCAATATTGATCGATTAATCAGTGCGTTGTAACCTCACCTACTAGTTTAATTCATAAAATACAGGCCCATGGTAAGAAATAATAAATGTGGTTTTCCTATTGGTCATCACTCACCTGTGGCATCCCTGAGGGCCCCTTTCAGTTGTGGGTTCCCTGCAGAGGATCCTGATTCAGTCCTGTTTTAATATCACCTCTCGGCATCCTCCACCAGTAATAAGACCAGTCTTGAAGGCTCCAATCTTGTAATTAATCTCTCTAACTTTCGCCAATTTTTGTTGTTGTAGGTTGCTGCATCCTCCAGTGCTGCATCCTCTGTCTTGATTCTCATGCGAGCCACGGCGCACCACGGCGCACACGTGGTGCGAGATGAATATGTATTCGACCGCCTCTTGTTAAAATGTATTTCATCTGTTTTTTTTTCTCTCTCTCTTCAAGAACATGGTTTTTAAAACTATTGCACTGGGGCAGGTGTACTAAATAAAATAAAACAATCATAAGTACCCTTTACCGAAAGACACAATTCCAATAATTTCCACTCATCGCCATAATGCAATGTTCTTTAAGCGTGTGTTTAAATGAAAAGTTGAATACTATTGTTGTACGAGGTTTTTTTCACACTTGGAGGAATGTTGTTCATCAGGCTGGCTGTGGAACTGTAGAATCCCACAATGCTATTCGTTCAGGTTGGCGTACCTGTCAATCGAATTTCAGGATATACAAACAATCCTAAACTCACCTGAGAAAAACAAATGGAAATAATGTGTTAAAGGTAAAGTTTCAGCCCTCCAATTGCTTGGTCACACCGCCGCTGGCCTTAAGGCCTTCACTAAAGAAAACTCAAGAGAGAGGGCTTCAAAAGGGTATTTGGCCTATTCATCCAGACATATTGGCAGACGTCGGCGTAGCGAACACTCTCTACACTGCTGCACTCGTTTATCCTGCCGGGTGCAAAGACGAGTCTCGTGCACCTTTGATGCATCGCAAACACTCATCGTCGCACACTCGGGCCCTGTACACCCCCGAGTTCCATCGTAAACCACCGTCAAAGCCTCGAGCGAGCTCGGATGCAGCGCGCGTGTCAACGGCGGCGTCGGCCGCCCTGTCCCTCGCTCGATGCCGAGTTCCAGCGGCTGTCGCCAGCGGCGGTTGACTTCTTGCAGCCGATCCGATTGCCACAGAGCGGCAGACA